GAGAGACTTTCGATCCGCGAGGCGTCGAAAACATCGAGTCGAGGATGCACCGCCTCTGCGATGTCGTTCCGTTCCTCGTTTTCTTTCTCTCGCCGTATTTAATGGTTTCGTCGCGACGTCGTCGACCGACGGACGGACGGATCAGACGGAACGAGTGCGGATCGAATCCGCACTCGTTCGGGTCGCAACATCGCGCCGATGCACGCCGGCCGTCGTCGGGATCTTTCGCCCGCATGCATGCTGCCGTCACGGTGACGTGCATCGACTCGGAGGATCGGTCTTCTCGTGAGGCCTTCCGGGAGTCGGAGCGGCGGATGCAAACGCCAAGCCCGAGCGGCAAGTCCTCCTCCTCCTCCTCCTCCTCGTTACCATATCGGGGAAGGGTGTTCTCGATATGCCCCACGAGGCAAGTCGTATGCCCGACCCCATTTCCTCGCAAAATGGATTCTTACTTTTTACATCCGTGCTCGTGTTTCCAAACGCCGCATTTATTTCGTACGGATGGAAGCACGAGTTAGGGGCAGGCATGCCTTTCCTCGGCATGGAGATGCCTCCATGAAGATTCCTCCACGAAGATGCCTCGTGATCGCGAGACATGCTCCTGCGAGCCTCTCCGTCTCGCAAAGCTGCAAGAGCCACCCGAACGTCTTCTACCTTCTGCGTCTCGCGCTTTCGCGTCGTTTCGCTTCCGGGGAACGAGTTTGTGGTCTTTTCGCTCCTTTCGGAGCGTCGTCGGGGTCGCTCTCCCGCGGCAGTCGACGACGCGTTGCCGTCGCTCTCGCGGATCGATCGGTTCGGTGTCGTGCGTCCGCGACTCGATGCACCCCCGAGAGAAGAAATCGGGGGATGTGAGGTCTGGCGATCGGGAGAGACGCTCGACCGTCCGTCGACGTCCGATCCGATGGGGGAAACGCGAGTCCGACCGATGCCGAACTCGGATGGCGTCGCCCGAGGACTGGAGTCTTCTCAGAAGGCGTCGCCCGAGGACCGGAGTCTTCTCGGAACCACGAGTTCTCCCTCGGGTCCACCCGTGAGTTCCGGACGCGTTCCCGTGAGTTCCGGCTCGAGAACGTCTCCCGACGCGTCCAGGTACGCATCACCTGGGACGTTCGCGTCGAAGGAGCGAGGACCGACGAGTGCGTCCCGTAAAATTCCGCACGGCACCGTCGCTTCCGATGGTTTCCGATCGCGCGGACCTGCCTCCCGATGGCGGTCGGTTTGGGACCGACGACGGCGATCCTGCCCCTCGCCGAAGAGGATGCGCGTCGGGAAGTCGGGATCGCGTTCCTCCGCGTTCGCGGCCCATCCTCTCGTCCGGGTCGTCTCCGTCGAGCGCATGCGGGATTTCCATTCGATGCGGTCCGAACTCGTTCGCCTCGGGGAAACGACACGCGCTCGACGGGGACGCGACCGCCTCCGTCGACGTCCGTCTCGTCGACTCCCTCGGGGTTCGACAGGCTCACGCGAGGACGTCTTTCGCCTCTGCCGCCTCGTCGTCGACGTCGGTCGCCTCCGACGTCGTCCGGTACGGGGCCCGTCGGCGACGGAACCCGTCGACTCGAAACGTTCGAGCGGCCTGCATCACCGCCGATCGCGTGATGGGTGGCCGCCGAGGGTGTCGCCCGTCGAATCGGTCGGCGACTTCTCTTCGAGCGATGCTCTGTCGCCCTCACGAAAGAATCATCTCCACGCGATCGTCCTGCGTCGGTTCCACGGCTCGGTCACGCATGCGAGTAGAGATGAGCCAGAATCACCATCGATTCGAGAAATTCTTCTCGCTGTAGGTGCGAAACGAGAGAAATATTGTGTTCGCACGCGTGTTACGATCCGTCGTCGGCTATCCGACACCCATCGAGGATCCGGTTCCGCTCCGTATCCATGCATGGGGTCGCCAGAAGTGAGGAAACGAGTAAATCAAAGTTTATTGCCCCTTCTTTTCGGACTTTAAAGTCGTAACCTGGCCAACGGGGCATCGTAGAACTCGTCTTCCCCTCGGTTTCTAAGCGTTCCTGTAAACGGGATTCCATCATCCGGCACGCTTTGCACATAAATCGAGCGTCTTGCTGCGGAAGGCGATCCGAATGCTTCCGCGAGGCTCGAGTGAAGTGTCTGGATCCGTCTCGTAAAACTTCCTCCTTCGGAAGAAACGAGAAAAGATCAGAAGGCGCGAGATCGTGAGATCGCAGGAGCGATTCGACGGCCGAGCCACCGTTCGAAGCGTTTGTTCGGCGAGCGTCGCTCGTCGAGGCGATGACGAGGTGGTGCTGGACCTCGCACGGAACCAGGAACCCTTAACGATCGGGTTTCGGGTAGCAGGCGGTCCCCCCGCATCGCGAGGATTCCGCCTCGCCGGCTTCCTCCACGTCTTCGGCTGATTTTTCAGTCAGACATTCGGGAGGTGGAGGGTGGAGGACTCGGGATGTTTTCGTCGCATGGACCGTGCTCCTGTTTCCGGATCTTAAAAGCGCATCCGGTCTCGTCTCCACTCGGGCGGTGGGGCAGCGGTGGGCCGATGTCGGAACCCCACGTCGGGCCGACGTTAAACGCTCGCATGCGGCATCACTTTTAGACGCTTAAAAGAGGCACGGAGTAAACATCTCGATATACCAGGGGTATCAAAAAATAAGGTTCCCTAATTTTTTGCTCCAAATTTATTTATTTTAGCAACCGAGACGTTAGGTATACAGATGAACAGATACGAGTACATCAACTATTTGTCAACATAGTTGTCAAAATTATTCCAGAACTTTAATTATTTTGCGAGCTCTAATAGTTTTGTGTAAAAAAAAAAAGAAATAGGGAACCTTATTATTTGATATGCCCTCGTATGTTTTATTATATTGCTACCTACTGGGTGACCTTGCCGCCGAGTTTCTCAGTCCGACTGGGCGAGTTCCATCGAGTACCACCTCCCCTCCATTGTCTTCTGAGGATTTCACTTCCCACACAGGATCGGAACCCTTTGTGATTTCTCCTTTCACACAATTAGTACTTTCCCCGTCCCGAATGCGCTCGTTAGCTTAGATCCCCAGGGTATTCTTTTATCGCATCTGAATCTACCATCCCTATCATACCAAATATCAGCTATTTAAGCGCCATCTCGCTTCGTCGGAGGTAACCTTGTTTGTTAGAATATTTGAGATAGATGACTCGCCCACAGATGGGACAAATGTTGGCTGCCGCACTGGCGTCGAAGTGGAGCCTACTTGAGCTCCCCACCATGCTCCTCACCTCGCAGCCGACGTGGTGTGCTCCCTGGGATTAAACCCAAGAAAGTATACTGTTATCCCTGAAGTATATTAACCCACTGTTACACGTTCAAGACGCTTCTCGTTGAGCTGAGAAAACTTATCAAAAAAGTTTCGTGAGCAATGTAAAAAACTTTTCGTTAGAAACCAGCCTTGAAATAGTAGGTTTCTATTCAATAAAAACCCTTCAGCACTTGTGCAAATCAAATAATATCTTATTAAATGGGATCCAATTATATTTTTAATCACGTGCTTTGAAATATTAATTTTTTCATGTAGCAAACTATGAAATCAAAGTTCAAATCTCTCCTTTTATCTCCTGTGCATGTAACTCAGTAATAAAATACCCTCTCTCCGCGTCAAACTTCATGTTCACGTCCAAATGAACTGGTTCAAATTGGTGATGACTGTTTCTTCCAGCTCAAGACAGAGAGAATGTTTATTCAAGTTCCGAGTCTACCTCTAAAATGTTGACGGCAACCAGGTCAACTGATCTGTGAGCATGAGAGTACGCCTCCGAGAATAGTTCCAAACGTGCGTTTAAATTCATCAGAAAAAGGCTTGGCATGTTAGTGGAGGAATTATTTCCCAAATTTTGTCTAAAAATGTGGTTAACAATCTAATTCGGATTCCCTCGTTTGGCGCTGCACGGACGGAGTCAGGAAACGATGCTCTGGGATCCCTTCCTCGAGGCAAGGAATGTGTCAACTTCATACGGCAGTCCGACCCTGTCAGGAGAAGTCGAACATCTCGAGAGATCTACTGAATCACTCTGCATTGCGCTCACTTGCATTTATTTGCAAAGATAAAAAAAATATCATACAACAGCGTTCCGCGTCGGAGAAACGGGACGACTGAAAATGGTAATACTGGTATAGAAGCATTTCGTTTCGATCGGTCGCAGTCGGGTCGAGAGGGAGCCGAGGGAGCCCGTATCGCACGAAATCAGTCGCCTGCAAGCATCATGAGGGGGAAATAAGGATCCCCCTCGGCATTGACGATCATGAAACCCCCGTCTTCGGTCGCCACGTAGTCGTACTTTCTTTGGCTCCCGTCGGGCAAGGGATAAGAGAAACTACCGGTCACTTTCCCATCTCCCGATCTCTCCTCCTGGCGACGATGACCCTCCCCCGTGTCGTATCCGAATCGGTAGCTCATGTCTCGGTTCAATTGGAAATACCTGTTCGGTTCTTGGGGGTAAGATGCTTGCGGTTTGGCTCCAGGACGTTCCTGAGGATAAGGCTTATGAACGGCTGATAGCTTTTGGGGACGAGATTGCTGCACGGTGGGAAGTGGTTGGGGATACGGTTGCTGCGAGATGGATTGCTGTTGGGGATAGGGTTGCTGCACGGTGGGCCACGATTTGGAGTACGGTTGCTGTACGGTGGGTCGCGGTTGAGGATAGAATTGTTGTGTTTTCGGCCACTGCTGGGGATGTGGGGGCCAGGCTCCTTGTCCTTGCTCGGGCTGAAACATCATAAAGGGGTTCAGGGGTTGGATACCCATAGAGGCGAGCATTTGAGGGATGTGGTCGCCTTGAGCAAGGAACCCTTTTCCCGCTCCTGCTTGGTATTTCACTTCTCTTCTCACTCCATCTGGGGCCACAAAGGAGTATCTTCCGTTCACGTTCCCATCTGAATCCGATTTCTCCTCTCTGTCATGGTCCGGAGCCTCGTAGGAAAAAGAATAAGCTCGATTCATCTCGACCATCGGTTGTCCCGGATGATCCAGACGCTGTGGCTGGGGTTGGTATCCGGACTGGGATTTCGACTCTCCTTGGCCACCGATATTCCAGGAATAGGAAAAGGCTCCCTTCCCGTCGTTCTCAACTTTCACCTTCACGTCTGGTTCCGGTGGTCCGTACGATTGGAATGAGGACCGTGGAGGTTGCCGTTGCTCTAGTTGTTGTTGCTGCTGCGGTTGATATTGAAGAGGTTGCTGCTGCGGTTGATATTGAAGAGGTTGCTGCTGAGAACCGAAATCCACGTTATAGGAGAACATCATGGGCATCGACTGATAAGCCGACGCTGGCCAAGGGTTGCTCGGGAACGAATTGGGTTGCTGCTCTTGCTTTACATCGTAAGAAAGAGCTTTAGTCTGTTGTGGATACCCGGATGATCCCTGTTTCCAACTTTGGTGACCTCCATGCTGCTGCTGAGGCTGCGACTCATACTGTTGTCGTTGTTGAACCGGTTGCTGGAACTGTTGCTGTGACTGGTCATGGGGTCCAAAGTTGACCTCATATGCGTACATCATGGGATGGGTCTGGAGATTGGCCCATGGGTCGCTCATAAAGGAAGTCTGGGGTCCACCATAGGATCGTTGTGGTTCCTGCGAAAGTAGGGCAGAGTCTCCAGAGGAATACGTGATGGGTTGGCTTCCATGCCTCCAAGACAGGTCCTGAGGAAAAGGATTCCCTGAAGACTTTTCGGCTCTCCCTTGCTTCCCACGTGAGTAAGGTTGTGACGGTCTTTCCCGCCGTTGTTGACGCGGTCGCGATTGCGGTTGTCCATTGTAAGTGGATGGTTTGGGTCCGTTCGGGGAAGAGCGTTCACCCTCACCCTCCTTTCTTCCTTCACCCTGGGTCTTCACCTGAATGAAACGAACATCTTCAGTTATCATCACCTCTTCAGACCTGAAGGCAGAGTTACATGCCAATTTTGAAATCCTTTGGCTCGTCGTCTAAGTTCCACCTCCGATGGGCAAAGCAAAGTAGCCAATACTGTTATCCTTCTTGGTATTGGAAAAAAATGGAGTGGTATTTGTACATGTCACCGGGTTTTCCTTCATAGAGGTGCGCGATTGAGAACATGTGCTTTTTTTTTACAGTAAGCTTATGGAGTAATCAAGGATCATATTCGAAAATGTTTATAGGCCATGTCACAGTCATTGTGCCGACAATAGTATCAATTAGGCTGGGTGGTATTTCGAAAACATCTTAGTACCGCGGTACTCCACACCCTCCTTTACGCCCCACTCCCCACCCCGCTCGCTAGGTGGTGGTCAGTGATCCCCAAAACTGGACCCTCCGTCCTGCGGTTCTTACTTTTCCAAGTACTCAGTATGTGAACAGCACCACAAGAAGTGGCTTCCTTTGGTGGCAATGAGGCTGGAGGCATTTTCCTATCGCGTGACGTTAATTTGAGTTTGAAAAATGAGAGAAACCGGCCGAAGGGACTCTTTTTGCTTCTATTCCGGCCTCCGAAAGAGATGTTGTAACAGGAATGCATACCGAGACGAGGGGAATCTTCACGAGAATTATTTTCACGGTCTCTTGTTGGCTGTCCGTGGACAGTCCTCATCTCGTACGTTAGAACATAGAAGAGCGTACGCTTATTTTGATAAAGGGACAAGGGGACTGCCAGTGAATATCTACTTGAAGCAATCATGGGGGGGGGGGGGGAATGGCGTCCCCTCCCCCCCTTGACCTACCAGTGTCCATATGTCTTAGACTTCTTTCTGGTCTTCCTCTTCGTTTTCGTCAGCCTAATGCTGGGAGGACCCGCAAAAATCATATTCGTCCTCAGATAGATCGATATCACTCTCTCAAAGCTGATCAAGGAATTCCGTGTAATTGGACACCGAAGCGCAAACTTACTGCCGCTATGCCTCGTGGCATGTGTACATGCCATCCATGTTTTGGCCCATCCCATAACAGCTCTATGATAAGTCAGATATTCCGTTATATATAAATAGTTTCCCACATTATTTGGCACTGCAGTTCAACATGCATTATAATTTTAGGACCAATAATGAGCAATCGATAATAGCTTTTATGATCGCAGACGACGCGGGCGGCCATATTCAAAGAAGCGCCAAGTTCACAAGCCCCTGTTGTGATGCAGACTGAGTCCAATGAGGGGGATGCATTTTTTTCGGGAACTCTTTTTAATCCTTCTATGGCTTACAGTGTGATCCATGACAAAGAAGCGACTTCAGCAGAGGTTTCAACACGTTAATGTTTGGCATGTGTACATGCCACGGGGTCTGAAGAGGATATATACCCCCTCTGACAAACACCCAACGCACAGCGGCATACTGTCTCAATTATGCTTTCGAGTTACCATCCCTAACATGACATGCCTCGCAAAAATCATCTCTCAAGGTCGATAGAACACTTTTTCTGTTCCTCATCCCCTCCCACTTCATGCATTATTCAGAGCCAAGTTTACATCGACCTTGGTTCTCAAAACCCTCTTTCCAGATGACGGTTTCCTTTCCTTTTTTCTTCGTTCGAATCCATATTGAAATGAGTAAGGCATAGAAGGGAGCATGAGGCCATGCATCACAGAAAGTGGGCGGTTTGAAGGGCCGTAACAGGGGCCAAGGTCACTTGAACCCCACGTCTACTTTTTTTTTTTTTTTACTCAGCTCCGTGACGCAGATCCTTTCCGAAAAGATCGTTGGCATATTTCTTGATAAGGAAGAAGATGATGATGTACATAGGGACATACAGGCAGGAGATTGTCAGGTGTCCTAGGTGAAATCCGGGTTCCATATTCCGTAGCTCGCCGGGGTCTTGGTCTCCTCTCAACTCCTCCAATCTGACCTCCTGTTGCCAACAGGAACAGGACTGACACCTACATATATAAACCAAAATCATCATCAATAACATAAAAATTAAGTTTTAATTTTAGAAACCTAGAAAAGAAAACAATTAAAACAGTTTTTGCATAGTAATCTGGGAGAAGCTGGGTCGGATCGAACCGCCCGTTGAGAAAGAGGAATCGGGAGTGCTTCCTTATTTTTGGGCGTTAGGACGATTCATAGTAATAAAATACGAAAAATATCTGTTACCTTCCTTGAGAAAGCAGAAAATTCCTCTTTTTTTCCCCCATGCAAAGAGACGCAAAGGCGATTTGTTATTTAGAGGTTCATTCTCATCTGCAAGATGAGACCTTTCCTATACTTCACTATGAACCTGGACTGATTTCTCATTTCTCCTGTTGTTTTTTTGAAAAGGGGCGAGTCTCTTCCTCTATATCAATCTTACAGGTCGAAAACGCTGACTGAAATCATGGTCAGATAAAAGAAAGAACTTAACGTAATTAACATAGGTCCGATAAAACCCATGAACACACGTTGCTCGAGTTTGCCCAACCTTCAGGGGGGTGATAACAGGCTTACAACTGCGATGAAAGTGTCTCCCAACGAGAGTTGCTGCCATAAAAATCATCAAAGTAACATACATGGAAAATATTCCTTTTCCGCATCGAAGAGGATGCGAGATTATCCCCGTATGATGACCTGCTGGGTGTTGTCTGATGAGTTATGCGGAAACAGTAAGACCTATACAAGGTTACTCTGACAAGGTTACTTTGGTTTTGGACAAGCATGCGGATATCACTCTTTCCGCCCTTGGGAGTAAGAGAAAGTGAGAAAGCGAGAGACTGAAAGATATAGTAATATGAAATCAGCTGCTTTTTGATTGGTCCGTGCAGAGACGGCCAAATAGGACCACCACCATCCGCGTTTACCATCCTCGCTGCCTCTCGGATTCTACTTGCCCTTGAGCAGTTGAGCAAAAGATAATGCAATACCAATTTCCTGAAGGAAACCCACATTCTGGAAGCCCTTGAAGCCAACACCCCAACCATTCAGAGAAGATCTCTATTGATGGGAATGAAATATTTAACTCCCCTGCATTTCCTAGTGGTTTGATCCCGAGCTAAAACTGTCCTAAGTTTAGCCCGGGATTCATGAATCGACTCTAGGAGAACTATACCACAGAGACTATTCCACTATGAGCAGATAAAACCCAAACTAGGAAACTATAGGCAGGTGAAAGCCGTCATCCAGGGACCCCTGCTAGGATAATATATGCTAATGACCTAATGCGCGCCACACAGGACGTAACACTTTATTTCACAGCCACGAATCGATCTCCACAGAAGAGCAATATTGGATTCCAGCACAGAGGGAAAAGATGGATTCATTCCCTGATACCACAACCAAAGGATCTCAATGCCATGCAGAGGATACCACGCTTCAGCTATGAGCCATGGCAATGAGGCTACGTTCACATGAGCACTTTGGAGCCCGAACCTAGATCGCTGCTGGATGAAGAGTTGAAAGTTATCGTCGGTTTGGATCCCATTCTGTGATTCTGGGAAAATCCCATTCAGTATCTATAATGTTTAAGAGAGGGCAGGAAGACTACAATCGTACGAGAATGGGTTTTCTACCTTGAGCGAGGCTGGCAATCCACGATCGCAACAGAGACTCACAACCAAGATTCATTCCAGAGGGCACGAGATTTCAGAGCCACGGCAATAATACTACAGCAAGTGTCAGATGAAAATCTTTACTCTGGTATTAATTTTTGCACGGTGCAACTAGATGACCACAACACAAACCCAGAGAGTACCAAATCTCACTTTAGTCCCACGAGCAGTTGAAGAGGTCAGCGGAGAGACAACAGCCAGCTCCTAATACGTTCCAAGAGGTAAAACAAAAAGAGGACAGATTCCAAGCAGGATTATTGAGAAATGATGGGCCACTTCACCTCGGTAATGCAGTCAGCTTTCAAGTGGCAAGAGAATAAGCTATCCAACAACATCCATATTATCCAGGCTGGAGCTTACAGTGTTCGGAGATACAATCACGAAGAGCTTCTGCAGTATAGTACTGCTTGAGCGGTTGGAGTTTCTATAGACTCACTGCTAACGAAAACCGAATTTTAAATCCACTAGTAAACGCTCCAAAGGAAAATTTACAACAAAAGGCAAGTAAAGAAAAAAAAACACAACAATATACAAAAAAGGGGTAAATTCGATAAATTTATGCAAACAAGGGGGAGGGGAAATTTCTATTTTGAAGTAGAATCATTGCAGCACTTGTGGCGGACTGGAGTGAAAGAGCAACGATAATGAATGATTGGGAATAAGTACGGGGAAGGGGGATGAACTTACAAGAAGGGAGGTGAGGAGAGAGGAAGAAGCCATGACTGAGAGTGAAGATGGGAGAAGAGGTTGTGGTTTGGACCATCACTGCGTGTCCTTGCAATTTCTATCCCTCTGACCTTCTCTCTCCCCATCTCATGACATCATTCTTGCCCTTCTCCCCCTACCGGATCTGGGAATACACGAATGCTCCACACCCTATCCTTCTCCCTCTTCCCGAAATCGCATTTTGAGTGAGTCACGGAATTCGTGGAGATGCCGCACTTATTTTTTTATTACTTAAAAATCTCATCCGCGTTTTTCCCAAGACAGTATTCCCTCATTCACCCGCGGACTCCCCCCCCCCCCGTTCCATGGGATAAATAAAGATGTCAGAAGTTCCCCTCTTTACTAGACACATTAGAGTTTTGTCCAAGCACTTCAATTAAAATACTAGAAGACTTCTCAATTACGAGCAACAAAAACGTATTACGCAATCGCCAATTATTCCGAGCACTTCAATGAATCACTTATTTTCTAGTTACTTAGCATTGCAAGCAAGTCGCAATCTTTCCAATCACCAAGACAATGCACCAAGCGACAAAACATGGTGACCAGTTTTGAACTCAATTGAAGTCATGATTCAGTTGAACCAAGGGAGGGGCATCCAAAATCTGTCTCGATGTTGTGCATTTACCGTAGAGCTATTCCTAGTGTATAAAAGCTATTCCCAGCGTATATAGACACATTTTGTCATTGTGAAATGAACATCCCACGCCCATTTCTTGTCTTATAAGAGTTTTGGCGTGCATTTCTGCCCAAGGTCAATTTGTCTGATGTATTGAGCAATTTCGCTCTGGAGTTGTGATGAAACTCTTGAACATCGAGGGCGTTCGGCATAAGACGATCCATTAATATTTTCCGCATTCTGAAAAGCGTCCTGGATCTCGTTTGGTCGACTTCCTCAATGGTCACGAATTCTACTAAACAAATTAGAAAACTATTTATG